GCGAATATTGCCGTTCAACCAGATGCATAAACGTCGGTTCATGGTATAATGGGAACATACAATTGAAATTCGCAAAGAAATCCCGGAATAACGATATTGCTTCTTCTTTTGGCGGCAGCGGTTTGAAAACACGACGAGCGAAGATATCGCTGAAAACCTCGGGCTTCCAGTACATCCATTTATTGTCATCGACGTAGGCGGAGGAAATCATGTCTTGAAACGAAGTATCGCCTGTCTTCTCGTTGACCCATTGAATACCCTTAGGAGAGAAGATCGAAAATCCCGATGATGACCCTAGACATAGAATGATCAGCCCACACTTGCTTAGCCCCAGACGCTAACTAAACAAGGCTTACCAATGTATCGAGTCTCCCCGCAGTTGTTTGTAACCAAAGAACACATCATATCTGACAGGGCCTCCACTTCTGTCTCGTCCTTTTGCGACCCGGGAGATGTGGCGGCTGTGCGCGGGCTCATCGAATGGGTTTCTATACGGGGAGACGGCTGGTGGCTCTGGGGTGCGGTATTCGGTTGGGTCTGCGTGCCTGACGCATTTGGAGTATTGCTCATGTTCTGGTTTTGCGATGACGGGGGGTTCGCGGCATTCAGTCCGTTGGTAAACGATCGGTCCGCCAGACGCTTCTCCAGTGTCCCAAGATCTGTCTTTCCTCCATCCTCTTGTGATAAAAGGCCGGAAAGTCGTAGCAGCGACTCCATTCGTCCTAACCGATTTTCTAATCCCTCGATGTACTTGGCACTATATGAATATCAAGCGTCAGCGCTATGGAGGCAAACGCGCACATCTGTCATCAATCGTTCTGGACATACCCTTTTGGCGGATTCCGCTTCTTTTCGACTTGAGTGAATACACAGTCGGTCTTGTAGTTGATACAATGCGAACACTTGGGCATCTTGCCATCGCACTTGATCTTTTTCTTCCGGCACATGTCGCAAGCCTGTAACAAATACGAACAATTTGTCAGCCCCGCAGTCATTGACACAGTCATCTATCGCAGAAAGAAGAGCATCCTCACCCTTGCAATCCGCCTTCTTTTGGCATCATTTTGATCCTCCCCTGTGCTCATCGAAGGCTCGTCCTGAAACGCCGGGAGAACGGACTGCACAGGCGAACCATCCTGACCATATGCGCCGAAAAGATGGGATTGCTGGTTCATGAGCATGGGCATATCAAAGCCCAACCCCTCAGTACCATCCCCCATGCCCTCCATTATTCACAGCGACCGTTGTCTGAATCGTCTTCGTTGCTCGTTGAAATTTCGGGAGCTCTCAGTCGCAAAGTGGAGTAGGAAGTATGAGCGTGGCGGGTACTAATGTCTCGAGGACGTGAATGCGGGGTCGTCTGACAGCTTAAAAAGTGATGTAAAGTTGAAGAGTGACAGGTGAGAGACCTGTTTGCTAGCAGTCGATGTCGTAGAGCCGCGCAAGGACCACAGTCGGGATCATTCGACGACGGATCCAGCAACGGCAAGAACTCGGGGAGAGGCGAAATGGAGAAGATGTCGTGGTAGTAGAAAGATTACTCAACCAGAACGACGGCACGTGAATGCTCCAAGGTAGGTTGTTTATATAAAAAAAAAAAATACCTCCAGTCCAGGAACAAACAAGATTAACTCAGAGACTGCCGGAATGAATCATAAGCCGTTTCCCGTCTCAATATTCAAAGATGGACGGATGGAGATGATCAAGGAATCGATGCTGCTGCCTTTTGAACGGAACCCGTCGTCCCCGAGCTCCGACGAGAGACATGAGAAACTCACCCGCAAGACGGATACATACACTGAGTGTTCCCGAGTAGATCTGACTGCTCTGCGGCCTCTGCTTTCTCTACACGTGCGAGACGAAAGATGATTATTCTGCATGCTGTGATAAGATTATCGCATCTTCCTCACTGACAAACCCTCCCCCTTGCGAATGCGAATACGAGTGAGTACGACTGGCAACGAACTCAGGAAAGCAGTAGTACTAAAAATACAGAATAATCCATTGTTTCTCATAAATCAAGAGTGGCGATCTCGTCAGGATATAGACACATAATATAATGGTAAAATACAAGCACTCCCATACAGGAGTACATCCGGGTTATATCCCATCTTCAAAAATCCAACCAACGCCTCGCTATGCACCCAAACAAGAAATATCTCTTGTTACAATCGTCGATACCCAGGTATCAGTCCCAAATGTCCGATTCGTGCCGTCTCGTTGGTTGATCGTTGCATTCAACGTTTCCCCTCACTTGACGGGGCGGGACTTCGTGGTGCTCGTGTGTCCGAATTTCGGTCGCATGATACGGGTCGACTAAGCGTGTTTGTCGAGGAATTCCTTCGCTTCGTTGATCTTCGTAGCCAGGTAGGGGCTACCGCCGCGATCCGGGTGGTTGAGGAGCATGAGCTGGCGGTGCTTCTTGCGGACCTTGTCTTTGTTGAGGGTGCGCTCTCTGTAGAGAATGTTAGACCGAATCCCCATTGTCAACATCGTGTTAGGTCACTGTATAACATACGGAAGTTCGAGAATCAAAGAGGCTTCGCGACGGGTCATCCGAGGATCAAATCCACTGTATTCCAGTCAGCCGAGGCCTAACACGGTATATCCAACGCTGAACCCTGGAGAAACCCACCCCTTGTAGAATGCCTTGCCTGCAGCACCAATACCTCCCTTAGAGCGACGGTAGGCGACAAGACCAGCACGACCCTGTAGACGGAGGGGTCAGTCAGCTCCGATTATGGCCCCGAAATGTCCTATGTTCCCTTACCAAGAAGGCGGCCGTAGCAACGCCCAGTCCCATAACTAACGTGGAGGCCATTGTAAAAGCGTAGTTCAACTGATAGTAAACAGTAACAAGAGGTCTCTCTCTTCTCGAGGCGGCGGACGAGGGACAGACTAACCCGGCGGAAGTCGAGATAAAAATCGGACCGCCGCCGCAAGCTCCCAATCGGGTTTAGCGTCATCCGCTCCGCAAAAGTTTCAGTTGATGATTTCGAATGTTTCTTTCCTACCTTCAACCATCCACCTTCTGTACATAAACATCGTGCAAAATGAGGTTTGTTCTATCCCATTTTCTTGCGCTGGGAGAATTTATTTGCTAATTGTCGCAGGGTTGAGACGTGCCATTTCTGCGTAAGTGACGGGATCGCATGAGATGATTTTTTTTTGGGCGGCATTGCTAACGGAGGAATTGCGGTATAACAGTCACGGCCGACCTACCCTAGCAAGGGTATTACATTCGTCCGGTACGTCGCTTCCATTGAGAGTGGGATTTAAATAAAGAAGCAGGGGTTGAGGACAAGTCTAACGGTAACAGGAACGACTCTCGTCAGTTTCGATTCTGCCGCTCGAAATGCCATAAGAACTTCAAGATGAAGCGCCAGCCGCGCAAGCTCAAGTGGACCAAGACTCACCGTGCCACTCGTGGCAAGGAAATGATCGTCGACTCGTCGCTTGTCTTGTCGCAGTTCGCCAAGAAGAGAAACGCCCCCGTCAAGTACGACCGCAACCTCGTCAACGCTACCGTCAAGGCTATGGAGAGAGTCGAGGAGATCCGCCAACGCAGAGAGCACCAGTTCACGAAGAGCCGTCTGGCAGGCAAGCTGGCTCGCGACCGCAAGCGCGAGGAAGACCGCAAGGTGGTGGCCGAGGGCGAGCACCTCATTCGCAAGGAGCTCCGGGAGAGAGAAGAGGGTCAGCCTCTGGCCGCCGAATCGACCAAGATGTCCAGATTGCATGGCGAGGAGAGACTCAGGCAGCAGAAGAAGACCAGATTATTGGTGGATGGTACTACTCAGGAGGAGATGGATGTCGATTAAAGGGTTACTTTCCGTTGAGCTTCGTTTCTGCTTTTCTCGTTTCCCTCTTTTCAGACACGATTGGAGCTTATGAGGAGTTCGGTTGTCTTTCTTTGAGTTATCTAGATTCCTTAAAAAGTAATGCATTGGGTTTGGGATACAATCGTGTTTGCACGTTTGCACTATTTGACTTGGTCATCGAGCATTCACTGCTCGAGTAGCGCCTATTTATTTACTCTCGTCTTCATGTTTTTTCTTTTTTTCTCTTCTTTCTTCTCTTCCTCTTCATCTTTTCTAATCTCACCTTTCGTACATCAACCACCACCACCACCATCAATACCAAAACTCATCATCTCATCACCAAGATCAAACCTACCATCACATAACAAGACACAGAACAACATGTTCTTCCCCTTCATCGGCCTCGTGGTCACCCTCTCCCTGTGGAGTACCATCTTCACCCTCCAGCCCAACGACCCTCGAGAAGACTACGTCCGACGCCTGACCAGCACTATTGGCATGACGGCAGTCATTACGGGATGTCTTGACCTGACCAACGGCATTATCAATGCCCATGGCCCTGGAAAAGGTAGCGACGCGTTTACTGGGATTTATGATCTCGTGAACAGCGGTGACCCTCATACTACGGTGACAAACACAGTTAAAGTGCCCTCGAAAACAGCAAAATCAGACTCGAGCAGAGTTACAGGGCCCTCGCCTCTATCCACACGCGCTCAACTCCTTATCATCGTTGGAGTTGTGCTGGTCATGGCCTCTTTTCCTCGAAAGAGTACCATCTCCATGGATGACTCTGCGCTGGAAGAACATCACGCAGAGCTCGACCAATCGTCACTTGAGATGTTGTACCCCCTCTCGCCCGAAGCTGAACCTTCACTATACGAGCAGATGGACTCCCTACTCTCCAGCTCGCTTCAACTCGATCCCGGTAGTTCTGAGTGAGTACCCCACGTCTTTCCAAAGACAATCTGTCAAACAGACGCTTACATAGATAGGACATCCACGAAACCGAGTCAAACCCTTGACTCTTTGGGTTCTGTGTCTCAGGCTACTTCTTCGACAGTGAGCTCAGTCACAAACTCTCTGACTACGTCTAGATCTACGACCCCTGCGCCTTCTAGCTTCACCACACCTGATTGTACCACACCACCCTCTCCCGTCGACTACAATCATCGACTTGTTTCTCAAATGGCCATTCCGTACTGTGCTGGTGATAATGACCTCAACTGTGTCGAAGCCGATGTCGTCTTTCATAACCAACTCGAGATACAAGCCAACCACGATGAGGGCAAAGCTAGCCAGAGAGGTCCTATATCCGATACAATCACCCCGACTTCTAAAGCCACCACTTCGCAGCTCGAACAGCCATCGCCTCCCGAGCAGGACTCTGCCGCGACTACTCCAAAGAAACGCCGACGTCCTCGACCCAGTCAGGCTAAGAGACGCCGTTTTGCAAGGCGAAACGAGTAGGCTCTTAGACTGTCGGCGTCGGGTCAGGATGATCAGGTCAGCTAGTTTTGGTTAGTGATGGTACGGTACTCTCGATTTATGTTTGGGATAATCATGTTTCGTTTGTTTGGATTTACGTTATAGATAGGAGCATACTCTTTCTGTTTTTCTTTTCATGTTACGTCTTTCTTTTGCAGCACTTAATGTATGTATTATATGAGGGAGTTGGAATACCGGGTTGGCCCTGGACCCTTACTGATGTCAACATAATGTTCAGATTGAAGTACGCTACCGCATAAAAATTTCCACTCACAAATCCTCTAGTTCCTTCTCGACATCAAATCAGTGAATGACATACAGCTGTCATGGGCATTGAAAGCAGTGAAGGTGGTGTATCCAAGTAGCCTGCCCCTATAATCTACACCATCTTCTCCTCTCCCTCTTTTTACCCATCATCCATCTAGAATAGTCAGCCATATTATCAGGTATATGGCTTGCTCATGCTCTCTCGAATCTGTGGCTTTCCTGGTACCCTCGAAACAAATGGTGCTGAATGCAGATGCTGTCCAGGCTTACTGTGCCTGTCACTTTAGTCCCTTGGTTCTGAACAGAATTCGGCTCAGTTAAGCCATCAAATAGTCCAATAGGGCCTACAAGTCCCGGGAAAACTGTTGTGGCTTCTACTAGGAGATCACGGCAAGCTGGGATCCGAGTTTTACAGGCTACCAGAAGCGTACGAGAACCTGAAGAAAGCGAGATCGATCCCAAGTACACCGCTTAAGCGGAGCAATGTTGGAACCTTATTTTGCATGAAAGACGGACAACGAATACTTGCCAGACCTGGTACCACTGAGACAACATTGAGCCAATTGCGCTGCCACAGTTCGCTATCCTGAAGAAAAAAAGATCTCTACCGCAAACAACCCCACTTCCAACGGGCCTAAGAACAGCGTCACTACGCTACAGAAGACTCACGAGACTCCTGACTATCGACTCCGTCTGGGAACACGCGTCCTAAGGCCTGATATGCCACTACAGCAGCCGCCATCTTCTTGTATCACTCTGCCTCGGCAGCCATATCGGGGTCATCTTCAGAAAACCGAAAACTTCTGATCCTTGAGCCTAGTATTGGCAGGCGATGACTGGATCAACGAGGATCTTTGCGTTCGAGGGCCATTGCTTTGTTACATTCCAGCATCAGCGATGCCAATTAGTCGTACGACACTGGAGTTTAGCCGACTGTGCCATCTCAAAAGCTTTAGGGCTATTTGAAAGAATTCGAGGTCGAATCCAATTAAGAAAATAAATCAATAAAATAAACCTGATACAGCCTTTTGTTAGCTACATAGGTTTATATAATACGCATTGGTTCGTCCGACGAAGCAGTTCTAGAGCTATCGTCAAGAGACATCCAATTCGCAAATAAATACCCAGCTTGAAACCGCATTTTCATTACTCCAGAAACCCTATCTCTAATCATACACCGTACATGAAACACCTGGTTAATACACGCACACGAAAAGATCCCGGAAAGCACCTTTATCAACTAAGCCCTTAAATGAAAACCCCCTACCACATTCCACTCCCCAAGTCCCTCAACCCACTGATCCAGCTCCGTGATAGCACTACCAGTCAAAAGTCAACAACTCGAGGCAATAATCACAACCGCACAATCTCCATACTCACGCCCATCTCCAGTTATATACGTCCTCCCAGCAACTTTATGCCCATGTCTGTGATTTCTCTCCATTTGATTCGATTTCTCAGTCATCCACCCTCCTCAAAAGATTCATGTATCCTGGATGGGCAGCAAGACTTCACTGGTAATACCGCTGTCAATGCGTTTTATCTTGATGTATCCGTCATTGTGATCACCACCACTCTCTGCTTTGACAGTGACAGTAATATCTGTAAAATCAGAACTCTCGGTAGGCCTGCAGACCTCGATGGTAGAACTGTCACAATATGCATGGCCGTAGCCAGGGTCCCGGGGGTAATCAGACAGAGCCACAGCGTGTGTACGAGCTACGCTGATAATAGACGGGTATCACGGTCGAAGCTGCCACCATCAGCTTTTCTCAGAAGCTTTAGAGCGGGCTGCTCCTGGCTTTGGTGATACTCCCAGGTACACTTTTCAACGTTCTACTGCAGCAGCGTGCACATTAGCCCTACGTTGTTGCTAATTGTCTATGGGGACCAGTATGTACTTGCCTCCTGCTTCTCATTTTGCTCCTAAAACATCATGTGTAACTGTCAGCTGGCACGTCATAAATGGGGAAATTTGTCTTCCCTCGTTGCTTTCTGGTCATTGCCTGCCTCATATATAAATAAGATCAGTATGTGTTGCACTGCAATTAAGTGATAGCATGTATGCTTACCCAAGTACAGCTTTTTGCCTCAATAACAAACAGGTTTTTATTTTGTCCCAAGATACCGGACCTTGTGTGCCAAAACCCATAATCAAACTTCCTCGTAATTGGGCTGTTGATGGTCGGCATCTTCCTCCATCCCAGACGCTTGGTGATGGAAACCGGCATCTTCATTTGTATACTGATGTCAGAAGCACAGGTGAGGTTTTTCTGCTTTGCGTATGCGAGGATATATGTCAATATGATATTGATTCCTCCCCTCTCAATTCTCTTGGCTATGCTCGATGGCGGTTCCGAAACCGACACAAGTCTTTCCAGTATCTTCACCTGAAAACTCATTTGTGAAGCTTCGACAGGACAGTTCCTCTTCGCGTCCGCTAGCAAACTAACGAAGGAGAGATTCGGGCGGCATCAGATAAGCTCTTCATGTTGCAGAGAAGTCTCCAAGTCCTCTAGACTTAGCTTCGTACCGTGAGTCGTAACCGATCATAAAGGACAGGTGTCTTCAACTTTCTCTGTCAATTCCTGATCTACATAATCAGTAGGGATTTGGAAACAATGATCAGGGTCGGGCCACGTTTGGGATTGAGGTGATGTGAGGAATATACGGAACTGGCACAGGCGCAGCTCTGAAGGTAGTTGATTGATTTTGCAATTAATGGCGAGAGAGGGGAACGTATTTGAATGCTCCGGCTCGTTGAATTCGATGTCAGTGGTAAAGCACAAGCTATGATGAGTCGCACTGCTCTCCTTGATTTTGAAGATGAGTCTGGCATAGCGTAACTCAAGACCCTTTACGGCGATGAACTTCGGCTTGCTCTTGTCGTCGTAAAATTTTTTCCTTGATTCCTCTTCAGAGACGTTGGTCGGTTTCAGAAGCTTCAGCGCACACTTGAACAAGCTGACCAGTTGCATTTTGAACATAGTCTTACCTATGACCGTGTCAAAAACCAGGCCTCGTATAAACTCTTTATTCTCTGTAAAGGAAAGCCCCGTGCCCACTCATTTAAAAGTCCATGGCATTTCCATCTCGAAAACCGCGGCCATATTCACATTCGCTTTTCGAAAATTAGCCTCGGCCGTGTCCCATAGATTCCTTGAGTATTCGTCCTTCCCCAAATGCATGCTAAGACCCCTGGATGGTGTTTTTTTTAAAAAAAAAAAACCGGGAGATCCTTTCAGGATCACTCGCATGCCTTTGCGGTATTTGTACCAACAGTCTTTATCACGTTTGCAGTCTCGATGAAATCATTCCAGAATCTGCAGACGCGTTGGGTGGATGTTATAACGGCGCACATGTCTGTAGATAGGGAAATTTGACCTAGAAACTCACCCTTTGCCCTAGAACTCCATTTTGAAAACAACGGCAGACCACACAAGAAAGTCAAGAGCAATATGGATCTACTGCGCGTCATCCATGTGTTGGCCTTGGGTACATTAGCAGCGAAACGCCATCGGGACAGAAATTCTCATACCAAATCTGGCCGTTAACGGATTTCTCACCTCCAATTGTTTCTACTGGCCCAATCTCAAAGTCCATGGCGTTTGCATTGCGAACGCCGCGATTATCCCCGTAACAGGTAAGCCTTAGGCCTGCTTCCGCTCCTCGGCAAATGTCTATAGAAACTTTACCGTGGCGAGAGTATAGTAGGAAGGAGAAAGGGAGATCTAGATGGCCCGAAGCCGGTCCAGCTTCATTGGTCGAGAATAATATTCGATATCGTTATCTAGAATTAGCGTGTCTTTAGTGTCCGACTCGGGCAACGACATTAGTGCTTTGCCTAAGAAAAACGCTTGATAAAGCCGGCTTGTTACCGGCACTTTTTTCGCCCTTTCAGACAACCATAATGGCAAATATCGAGAGAATGGCCGAGCCGCACCGCATCTTGTTAACCACCGAGATCCTCGAAAAGATCTTCCTTTACACGGACATGCGATCGGTTCTGACCTCAGCACGAGTCTCCAAGCACTGGCATAAGTTAATCAAGGAATCATATGAACTCCAAGCACATCTATTCTTTAAGCCAGCATTATCCAGCTCTGGAACCACAAAAAGGCTCCGCAACCTGCTCCTAGATAGTGATCTATGGTCCATTTTCTACCGCCAAGAGCTGAACACAACTCGACGGCATGCGTCCTACGATCGATTAAAACTTCCTTTTATGGATGCCGCCAAAGAAGACGCTTATCTTCGACAAGAGGCGAGGAACTGGGACAGGTTGAATTCCAATTCGTGAGTTTTTCACCCAGATGGGTAGCCATTGCCCTGACAACCAAGTTCGGTTTAGGCATTATTATTATTATTATTATTATTATTCATACACGCATCTGTCAGCCCTATAGGCCGAGTGGCGGAAGGTCCTGCGGGGCAGCCGGGTAAGCCGCCGTAATGGTAGTCGCTATGTACATCGTCGCCTTTATACACATATCCTGATATCTCATTCCGCGTGTTGTATATCCCGTGCTGCTGGTTTTC